CCCTAATGTTCTGTGATTCTGTGATTCTGTAGTAGTTTACTTACTTACAAATGTGGTCTGTTAATTTGGAGTGTAGGATCTTTGGACTGTTAGGATTTCGGGATTAAGGGATGCTTTTTATAGAAAATGTTCATGCGCTAGTTGATGAGGAAAGAAAAGCAAATATTTCCAGCAATAACTACAACAGTGTCAAGTTTCTGAGCATGAAAATTTTATCCCTTATTCTCTTTTAAGAAACTCTTACAAGTTCTCCAACATGCCAAATTGCTGGTTCTTCTGGGAAGTCGAAAATGGCATTGTGGTCCGGATTCTTGGCCAACTTGGTTTCACTGACTAAATGGGCCTAAATCAGTTTTACATTTGCAGAATAGAATTCTGTGTTCTAATTCTTCCTTATTGATTCAATTAAAATTAAAAAATGCTTTTTCTCTACATTTGAAATCTCTCAATTAAACTTTGTGTTTGATCCCAAACCACCTAGTTGCCATTGAACCCAAACTTATTTTGATGTACTATCTACACGTCCAAAGGACAGATTAAGGAGATTAATATTTTCCATATTTATCACATGCTTTCGATGAATGACATATACTTTTCCAGCAAATGCCACTATAAAGATAGATAAGAACTTAAAATTTTATTCTTTTGGAAATCTCTGTCCTTGGCATGTATGTAATCAGATCTGCTGATTTTAAGGACCAAAGCAAAAGTTTACTCTTTTTTCCTTTTCTTTTGTAGAATAGAAACTAGTTTGCTAAAAGAAGTGAAGTCCTTATTTCCCGAGTCCTGAATGGGCTCATCACTGATGTAAGACAGCACCCAATGCTGACAGGCTACAAGAAGACACGTAAAAAAATGGAATTACTTCTTTCTTTTTTTCATTTGTGTCATATTAAGAATTTTTTAAAGCATTTCCACTTAGATTAAGGATCACTATTTGAGCGTGCACTGTAATGCACCTCTGGAAATAACTGAGAACTGTGCACAGGGTCTGTAAGACCTGGATAACCTCAGCTGCAAATCAGATTAAAAGAGAAGAAACTATCTGACTAGAAAATGAAGTGTGAGTAAGTTCACCCACTTTGTAGACCACAGTGTAGTGAGCATATAGATAGCTGAGTTGTCACTGAAGAACCACAACTGAAATGATGTCTGGGTCTTTAATCATGAATAAATTCCTGCTCATGATTACAGACCTTGCTGTCATATCATTCACCTCAGAAAGACACCCCTTTATTCTGAAGACCTTCACTACTGAAGATCCTTACTGGAAAAACTGGACTCCCAATAGCCATCCACAGATCTGTGGATTGTTTAGAGAAATTACAATTCCTGATAAAAACACCTGCATAAAATTTGGGAAAGTTCCTTATTCATCACATTCTGGTTTTAAAAAATGATGGGTGGTTCAAATCTGGCTTCCATTTCTCTAAATCTCCTAAATATGGATTTGAAAAGAAGTAGTTCAAGATGAAAAGTTCTG